TCAAATGACGTCTCTAGTTACAGAAGATACTTGGGTCTACTACCCCATGTAGCTAGCTCAAAGTTGACTTTTTCGTCAAAAAAAAGGGAAGTACTCTCAAGTGTGTCTTCCGGATTCATAATAAAGGTTTCAAAAATTTAAAAAGTGCCACTATCACTCATAGAAATTATCTGACATTTGATGTATGCTTTCGGTAGCTTTATAAGAGTCTTATAGAGTCTCTAAATAGGCTTCTGAAGTCTACAAGAATATGATAAAGGCTTCAGAGAGTCTAAGAAGAGTCTTAAGAATCTTACAGAAGTGGCAGAACGTCTGAAAGTTCCAGACTCTTGAAGGTCTCACAGAGATTGTTCTTGGTCTTTCCAAATTAGTTAGAAAGAACGAGAGCAGAAACGTAGCCGAATGATAGAGAAGGAACCTCTCAATCCGCTTGTTGACTCAAAAATGTCTTCTGGATTATACTTGTTTCGAATGGCTTCTGTTGTGGTGAAAAATTTCTGTCTATGTACTTGCTAACAGTCCATCAAAATATTTATTTTCAATTAGATGAAGTATTTCCACACGCCCTCAGGATATTTCTTAGAAGTGTTCCACTATTTTGAGATAATCACAAATAAGAAAAAATATCACATCACATGATAAACGCTCATTTCAATTGGAACTTATTTTATTAGAAGATTTAGTAGATAAAATAACTGTCTCATATCTGTGCGGCGCCTCCATCGACAAAAAGTTCAATACCAGTTATATAACTACTATCGTCTGAAGCGAGAAAAACTGCAGCTTTGGCTATTTCATCGGGCGTACCGAGGCGATTCATTGGTGCAGCAGCTTGGCAATCGGCTAAGTAAGCTTTGTTTTCATCTTCATTTTTTCCCACACTTCTCAATAAAGGTGTGTCGATTGCTCCTGGACTTAAAGTATTCACTCGAATCTTGCGTTCTTTTAAGTCGACCGTTCAGCAACGAGAAAAAGACCGAATAGCCGCTTTTGAAGCACAGTAGACGCTCAGAGCTGGTTCTCCTAGCACGGAAGAAGTAGATCCATTCAGAATGATTGATCCACCATCGACCAATAATGGCAAAGTTTTTTGGACTGTGAACAATACTCCTTTCACATTGACGTTGATTATATCATTATAATGTTGTTCGGTGATTAAGCCCAACTCTGTATTCGGGCCAATGCCGGCGTTGGCGAAGATTATGTCTAGACGATTCTTCTCTTTCTGAATTACACTAAAGACTTTGTCGAGATCGGCCATATTGGATACATCACCTTGTATTGCAGTAACATTTTTACTATCAATTTTTTTCAGGGCTTCGTCAAGTGCTTGTTGACCGCGTCCAGTAATGAAGACATGTTCTGCACCTTCGGTAATGAATCGTTGAGCAGTGGCAAAACCAATGCCGTACGATCCACCAGTAATGAGAGCAATTTTTCCATCAAGCTTACCCATTTGTCTTTTTTATTGTAATAATAGCCGGTGTCACCTATTGAAGTTTGTTTGTGGATAAAAAGAAAGATACCTGTTTACTATTGATATACACCTGAAAGTGTCTTCATCATACTGACTGTTCTTTCGTTCTCCTGTATATTTTTTCATGACATGTGGACGCTGACATTGTGGTGCTCTTCTCCTAGATATCTCAAAGGAGAAACAGCTTTGTGAAGATTTAAAAATACACCAAAGTAGATCAACATATCTCAACTTAAACTCAAGTAGGTAAAAGTATTCTCAAATAGAGAAAAGTACTAATAAGTAGCTTGAATTACTGTTTAGTTCATTTCTAGAAAAAGCATATGCAAAATAACGATAATAAACAAAGACTACTGACAGACAACTTGTTTTCTCGTAGAATAAATTCAGCTCACAAGTACAGAATCATCAGGAAAACAACAATAACATCGACTTTTTAGTTGAACCAAGATTTCCTTCTAGTTTCAGTCTCTAAAATGGATGTGCAATAGTGTCGAACTTGAGAAAAGCCGATTCAATCACTGGCAGTGACTGAGATATTCTTGGTGATTTCCGTTGAAACTAAATAAAAAATAACGAGTTAAAATAGACAATGGAGGACCTTTGTTAACTGTGAGAAAAGAGGTCTATCAAAAACTGGTCATTTACTCGAGTACATCCCTTATACCATATGTAAATTGCATATATGGCAGTTTGTCAACATGCAAATAGTATTTTCACAACAAATATTCATCCAAAAAGTTGAGATCCTTCGAAAGTGAAAATAGTCTATTACTCGTTATGAGTCCCAGCGATAATGTCATTTTCTTGTACGAAGAAGCTTATCAGAATAGCAAGCAATGCATATTCGCAACGATAATGTAATTACCTGGTGACAGAATCGAAAAATGAAAGAAAACAAATGCACTTCTTTCTTATTCTTCTTTCAGATTCGATTATGCTGCCTACGGCAAAGAAAGTTACCTGTTTCATTGCTTTGGCCATCAAATTGCTCCGTACAGTAGCCAACTATTTGATCGTTGACGAGTTTTCCGCCGCCTTTTCAAGCATCATCGATCTGTTAAGTCAATTGTCTGAACAAATGTGACTCATGTGCGCACACCTACCTCCCAATCCTTCTCAGGCACTCTAGAGTCATCTCGCCGCTGAATCAAACTGCATTCGCGCATTGATACTCGTCACCCCGAGAGATTGATCTCGTACTTCGAAGCTACTTGCCGATGCATCAATTGGAAAGTATCGTGATCGAAACGAGAGACTCGGACAACTTTCGCCCGAAGAATTTCGTCTCATTCTTCAATCTGGATGATAAGCCCGCACTTCACTGTCTCATACTGCGAACTCACTCGAATTTACTCCGCTGAACATCGAATGATTTACAATGTCTCTCATCTAAACTCATCACTCATTTCACACTGACTCATTCGTTGAAGTTCGATCATTTGCCGCCACTTGTTACAGAATGTTTTCCTCATCTCATCTATCTCAATGTTCACATCATCGACAATAATGGTTCGCTCGTCAGCACTGATTTTCAACACAAACGTCTTCGGTCTCTTGTCGTTCATCTCGGCGATGATTGTTGCACATCTGGCATGCTCAACCGTAGCGTATTTCCCTTGAACATATTAAATATGATGCCGAATCTCGAACGTTATTCGGAGCATTTCTGGAGCAGAGTGTTGTCAGAAGGTGATCGATGGCTTTTACCCGGTCTTACCATTCCTAAGAATGTACCAAACATTCAGTCGAATCAATTTCGACAAAGTAGTTGCCAAACTTTGCAGTGCTATGCACAAACATTATGCACACTTGAATACAAACTTCAGATTTTTCTGTAGCCATATTGACGCGAATCGGTGAAGTTTTCACTTGATGCATTTGAGACACATGCTGAGTCAATCGATTTTAATGCTTCAGTTAAAGTTAAAAATGACAATTTAGAGAAAATTTCACCAACAATTCATATTCATATGTGAATAAAATGTCTCATTATTTTAACATTCACGAATCGATGACCGATACAAATAGTTTTGTATGTAATATAGGACGCGTAGAGTATGACGAAACTTGATGAAGAAGATGTCAGTGAAATAGAGACATTTGCTTTATTGACTTCTGCACGCTACAGCTCGTGACATTCACACAAGAACACAGTGATAGGCAGTTGTGGTGAGATGTTGGTGAAGATGAAGATGTTTAATATCCTTTCAGTCACATCCACACCATCCTTTGAGACGTCTCCAGATTCGAAGTGATAAGCGAACACAGAGAAAAGTACAAAATACTAGGGGCACCCTAAATATCTGTTCTTTTTTTGTCTAAGTGTCGAGAGTAGTGTTACTTGTATACTTTAGCATTTCAGAATTAAATTCTGTATCGTTTGAAATAAAAATTAATACTCGAGCGTATGTATGAACTGAGATACACGCAAAAGTTAAAAAACTTCCAAAACATTTATTTCGCTCGACATACGATAACTATCAAAATAAGCGAAAACTCCAAAACTCGTCCGCCCCCCGCGTCCCCTACAGAACTGAAGACGAGATTAGAGTCCTGCACGGGTACTACTTTTCGCACCCGGACCCGACCCGGCTCATTTTTTTCAAACCCGGAATCCGACCGGACCCGGTCATCTTCCACCCGGAACCGAACCGGACCCGGATAGCTCTACCCGGTACCCGACCGGACCCGGCCCAGTCTTGAAATAGTCGACACTTGATTGTTATTGTCAAAATTATATTCACTTTTCAAGCTTTTATTTCATATGGCAAAATATACTATTATTTTAATTTCATCAAGTAACAAGAACAAAAATCAATATTGTAAATCATTCATTTTTAAGTCTTACAATCTTGAACATAAAAATTACAAATTAAAAAATATAAAATCATTTAATAGTTGTAAGTGAATTATTTCGATGTTCAGTTTAAGAAGAAAAAAGAAAAAAACACGTTCTTCGCTGACATAGTTTATTGTCAGTATATAATGCATCGATGAGTCATGGTCGAATCGTTTATAATACGTGTAACTTTTTAACAAATAGCGATCCTAGAGTGTAAAATATTTTTACTTGTTAAGATGTCATCAACTACCGGTCGGGTACCGGGTATGCTCAAATCCTGCACCCGACCCGGCATTTTTTTTTATACCCGGCACTCGAACCGACCCGGCAAATTTGTACCCGGACCACAGTTCCGGGTCCGGTCGGGTGCCGGGTACCCGGCCCCGTTGCAGGACTCTAGACGAGAGTAAAAGAAAAAGGTGAATTTTTCTCTTCTGTCTACATTAAATATCTGGGTATTGGCTTATTTAGACAGATGAATCAGTTGAAGTCTTACAGTAAGAAGAGGTATTGCATAATGTATACTGACATTTCGTCATATCTTGATTGACTAATGACTGTAGCAAAAGAAAAGAGGAAGTAAATTTTTTCTTTTTGCTGTCATCTTGTGCAATTACATCGCTTACTCTCTCTTTCGTTGACTATCACACAATCATTCGTCACCAATCCAACGTAGCAATGGCATCTAATCAACAATACGTTCCTGAATTCAAACTTGTTTTAGTAGGCGACGGTGGAGTAGGTATGTTGGATCACATTTTTTTAATGTAAAACCGAATATGTTATGATGAATATCACTGTTGTAGGCAAAACGACGTTCGTCAAGCGGCATATGACAGGTGAATTCGAGAAGAGGTACGATGCAACTATCGGTGTTGAAGTTCGTTCACTACCATTTCATACCAATTTGGGTAAGATTATTTTCAATGTTTGGGACACAGCTGGTCAAGAGAAATTTGGCGGTAAATACAAAAGAAATATGATTAAATGAATTTAAAATAGATTTTTCTGTTCAGGTCTGCGTGATGGTTATTATATTGGTGGTCAATGTGCTATTATTATGTTCGATGTCACGTCACGTATTACTTATCGTAATGTGCCCAATTGGCATAAAGATTTGATTCGTGTCTGTGAAAATATCCCTATTGTACTCTGTGGCAACAAGGTTGATATTAAAGATCGTAAAATAAAGGCCAGATCAATTGTTTTTCATCGTCAAAACAATCTACAATACTACGATATTAGTGCACGATCAAATTACAATTTTGAAAAACCATTTCTCTGGTTAGCTCGAAAACTGGTTGGAAATCCCGATCTACATTTCGTTGCCGAGATTCCAGTTATGGTATGTTTTCTTTCACTTCTCTATATCGTGTCGAAGTGTTAGCTTTTGGCAAGCAAAGCTATTGAAGTTATAATTTTGACACGAAATTTTATCGAAGTTATTACGGATGAGCTAAATAATGAGTGAGTAAGAAATTGACTAACGAAGCTAGTACTATAACTCTATGAAATTCTAGATTAAAGTTGCCGAGGAATAAATTATATTTGTCATTGAGTAAGAATGAAAAAGTGACAAAAATAAGAAGATAATTGATGTTACCAAAACGAGGACAGCATGAAATGAAAATTAGTCGCCTTTTCGTTTTTGCATAATGGAGAAAAGGTTCCGAATCTATAGAAAAAAATTCATGTCAACTTCGTTCAAGTTCATCGATTTCTATTCTCCCACATTACTCTATGTGCTGTAGAAATTAGAGTTTTGTATCCAAATTATTATAGGTGGATATCATTGAAATTTCCTTCACAAAAATTGTGTCATCTAGCAAGAGATACTTCATGCTACACATAGTATCATGAACAAATATACATATTTTTAGAAAGAAAATTGAAAGTGAAAATGAGAAAAATATTGAAAAAAAACAATTCTCTATTTAATTGTGAAATGCATCAAAAGAAAATGATTAGAGTACGGATGTGATACTACAATGCATGAATTTATTTAATGTATTCTTGAATCAGAGGTAAATTTAGTGACAGAACTTTTCGTCACAGACAAATTGACGCGAAATATTCGTTGCAAAGAATTCGTTCCACGGACAAAATACTGCAAGATTTCATTGTAGAATATATTAGCGCATCACCAATTGATTTTGTAGGAAATGATGACGATAAGTTAAGGAAAGTAGTGAGAAAATACTGTAGTTTCTAAAGAATATTGAATTCTAAATAGAAAATGGATGAATATATTTACAAAACTCGCAAAAGAAAAGTTTCTAAGGGATATTCGAAACATTCGTAATTGCAATCAAAAGTTACATTTCGTTGAGTGAATCTAAAAGCTTTTCATATAAATGATTCTTTCAGTTTATTCAGACGGAAGTACATGCATCGGTTTCAGTTTGAACTTGCAAATAGAAATACGATATCATGATTCAATGGCCGACTTTTTCTGTGTCCAAGAAGAACCGGACAAGAACTGAGCGTAATAGATCGAAGATATGGGCATCATGTCCTAACTTCCAAGTCCAACCGTTTCCCAAGATCTTCTACACAGTTGTTGCCGAAAAGCTACTGGAACCGAATGCTATTGTAAATGTGTCAATTTTTTTCAATAGAGAATTCAATTCATGTTTTAGAAATTATAGTATTTCTATACTATTTTTCTTCGCTCAGCGCCATTACTTGCTACAAAATGAATTTAATGCAACGAAAAGTTCTAGCACTGCCAATTGAATCGAATAAAATATCTAAAAGTATTAATGAATTAGTTCTTTTTAAATATTTCAAATAACAGTATAATGTATTCATCGATAATCCTAATATGCATTCTATAGTATCACAGAATCATTATCAGTCAAATGTTTGCTCATTGTTTAGCTCATCTATAGTAATTTCTGCATGACGTATCACTTCTGCAAGCTCGTTCTTTTTATTGATTTTTAGCCTCCAGAAATTCAAATAGATCAGGAAACAATTGACTACTGGAAGCAGAACACAGAAGGTCCTGCCATCGTCGCTGATTTACCTGATGATGACGAAGACTTATGAACTTGTGACGTTAGAAAACTGCTGTCAAAAATAATATCTTTTTTAATAAAATCTGTTTTAATTTGTTGATCATTACCGAAATCTAAAATCGTTTATTGGTTTTGTTTCTGTTATCTTTAGAAAAGTCAGTAAAAGGCAATGGTGGAGATAATGATCATGTGAATCAAGAAATCATGTTGATTGAATTGTGTATTTAGTGTGGGTGTGTCATAAATATGCTTGATGAAATAAATAGTTGAATATGTTTATTGATGTAAAGATTATTTGTCATTGCTAAATATGAAAAGAGCACATTCGGTCGTAATTTCTTCTGGGAATTGGAACTAATATAACAGTCGAATTCTTTTTATGGAAAAAAGATGATAAATTGAAAAAGAAATTATTAATGTTGTCTCAAATCTATACTAAAAATATGCCTAACAAAATACAAACTGATCCAGTTTCGGAAAGAATTAGAGCCGGCACAAGCGTTCGACCGTTCTGTCATGTCTAATGACGACAAGTAATGTTCGTTCTTTATGTACAATCAACTATGGATTCATGATGCATAATTTTCATCGAGTATTACTGATATACAGAAATATAATACCCTCTGAATAAGCCACTTTTGAAAACCTTTCTTTAAGAGTCATTGTGGTGACCTTACAAATCTGTCCAAAAAGCTGCGAGACTAATTAATCTATTCTTGCTCTTGAAATATTAGATATATGTTTGATATTGTTTTTCTAGTGGTCTATTTGAAACCACTATAGGTAGTACAGGATTAATAGTCATATGAAACCTGATAGTCTAATATAACACTTAACTGATTTATTATATCATTTATATTAAAAGTGCAGATGATAAATTTGATCCATTTTTCATTAATACTAACTATTTAAAATCTATATTAGCTCATTCAATTTAAGAAAACATCTTCTCCTATTTATAGATAGTATTTCTAGGAGGTTCTTCGAAAGTTTTCGGTATTATATCCGGCGTAGCCCTGAAACATTTCTAGGTACTATAACTAAGAATATACGATATTAATCTCGCAAACAATCCATAGTTGCAATTTCGATTCTGAAAAAACGTCAATTTTTTTGCCATAGCCACAGCCAAGTAGTCGTTAAAGCAACATAAGAATCGTTACAGAAGTTCATTTGGAGAAACAATTTGAACTTGTTAGTTTGAGCTGTTGGAAGTTTAATTGTAATATCTCAGTATCTTTTCAGTGTTTCAGAGTAAAATGTGGTGCACTAATGCTGCACTTATCTGTCTTGATTTCTGTTGAATAGAATAATCCAGTGTATGTTTCTTCGCAGAAATCAACTTTGATAATACTAGAAAAAAAAGGCAAAAATCACAAATAAATCTAGGCTGTTCATTAAAGAAATTTCCTATGGAATTGGTCTTTTATCGTTCCTTTTCATAAGTCTGCTACAATCTGTAGAAACTTTCGCAGAACTTCTAGAAGAATGGTTTATCCTATAGTCTTCTCATCTAGTTTCATTTTGATTAACATAATTTATAGGAGAATACATTAGAAACTTAGAAAAGATCTGCATATACTCGTTGCTTTTCTAAAAAATCAAGTACTGTCTGTAAAAAGTTTTTCATTAAATTCGAACAATAATTCGCTTTTCAAGATATTTATCTTAATTTAAAAAACGACAATCATAGGATTTTATTGAATTGCATAATATAAATAATCATTCCTTCTCTTTATAGTGCTTTTTTTTAAAACATAATTATACAATTCTACCATTAGACAAAACAATTCTTCAATGAATCTCACAAAACAAAATGTATTAAATCGATTTTATTTTGTCTCGTGTCACATGTATCTTTCAGGAGTCAACTAATAAGCAATGATATGAACAAAAAATATTTTTTTGTTTGTATTACCTTTGCCGTCAATAGTAACTATAACAATCTATTTACGTATGTTTTAATAAAGTGTACGATGTAAAAAAAAAGCCATAAGCAAGATGACAACCATTCTGTACTCACTTTCTTTTATTATTTTTATTTTATTTCAAAAATTTCAAACGTACTTATCCTTCTTTTTCTGACAACACTTTAAAATAATAAAATCAATAATTGAAAAATTGAAGTTTATTTTGTGTATGACAAGATATAGCAAAAAAAGTAAAAAACGAGACAAAAAACACTACAATTCATTTTAAATCCAGTTGAGAAAAAATGCCGTCTCAATCAGACACATACACTACACCAGCTACTTTTAATAAATATGGATTACATCTAAGATGGCCTCGTATTTGGATAATAATTCTTGGAATAATGCTTATTTTTCTTTGCGTATGTATAGCTGGTATGGAAATTGGACATACAATTTACGATTTATATCGATCAACTGCATTTGGAGGTTTTATACTTTTTATACCTCTATTGATCTGTTCTATTTTTGTTCTTATTACTGGTAAGTTTAAATATTTTATTTCGAAAAAATCAATACATTTTCATATTAGTCAGTCAATCTTTATTCTTTTTTTTTCGGTATACATAAATATTAGACAGTAAGGTCATTAACATATCGAAAAGTTCATTTATAGATATTTTTTCCTAATATTACTAAAACTTCAAGCAAGAAACAACTTATAGATAAAAACATTTGAAAGTATAGATGTAATGACATTATAAACATGAAATATAAAGAAATGTGAGTAAATATATTTTTATACCTGTTGACAGTATTTAAGTTTTGTATTTGATATGAATTGTGAATAACGAGAAAAAAAGAAATGTAACAAAAAAACAATTATCAACATTAGATAAATTTTATTGTTTTTCTGTTTGTTGGAAATTGTTATAACGTAATGAAATTTACAATCTCATTGTGTAGGAGAATGATTAAGTGTATAGTATCATGTAGTAACTAATAAATTAATGATGAATGATCTGCATTCTGCAAGAGAAGCTATTGAAAATGAAGAATATTAAAGTTTATATACAATTACAGTTTGCAATTAATATGAACTAATATTTCGCTCGTATATAAATGGAGATTATAAATAAGGGGTCTATTTAGTCATTTCAGATCGTACTTCCTTGATCTAGATATGAAATTGTGAAATAATTTTAGATAAATTAAAATTTTGAACATCAAGTATAACTTCATCTTATAAGTTGTTGTATACGATTTTTTTTTCTTTTTTAGCCTGCAAACCACGTTTAATACTTCTTCGTATTGCTACAATTTTATGTTGTATTATGATTATATTATGTATATTATTAATTGTTTATGATATTCTTGTTCTTATCGATCCTACTCGATGTTTCTTTTTAAATTGTGATAACGCTCAAGTTACATATCAAGTTAATTCAACATATAATACAACAATAACAGGTTGGCCACTTAATATATCATGGCCTAATTATTTTCAAACTAATATGAATGGTAAAAGAATTCTTCAAAGTATACAAATATTTTGTGCTGCCTTATTTATTTTATTTTGTTCATTATATATATTAACTTATATTATTTATCGACGAATTTATTTCGATCAAGGAACTATTGATAAATCTGATCAACATACATTTGTAAGACATAAAACAGTTACAAGTCCAATAACACGTTCAAATAGTATAGTTCAATCATTTCCACAATATAATCTTAATCGTCTAGTAACAGTATACACTATTGAAGGTCGTCCTTCGACATCAATTATTTATAGTAATTCTCCAGCACCACCAATAGTGCATACAATTACTCCTCGAAAAGCTAATCGAAAAACTGTTGTACGTCAAAGAGCTAAGTCCGCAAATTATGATCGTATATGTACACGTTGTATGATAGAACCACGAATAATTTTAACAACAAATTATCAACGACAAAATTACTTTTCACATTTATGTATTAATTGTAATAAAGAACTTGTAGATTATCATCAAAAACCACATCTTGTTCAGTCAGAAAATGATCGTACGTGGAAACCTTAGGGATACATATTTGATTGAAAATAAAAGAATGTATTTGTTTGATGAATGATGTACTATTGTGTTTTTCTTTTAAATACATTTTATAAATGAATAATTTACCTTTTCTTCTTGTTTAGTTTTTTGTATTTATACAAAAAAAAAGAGAAATATATGTATTTAGTTCTTAAAAAGAAGTACTTAGAAAGCTTTATGATAATTACAGTAGTCGTGAAAAATTCCATTGACAAAGTAAAAAGTGGGTGTGAGTGTCGGTGTAGATATGGGTGGATGTGTGAGAGAACAGAAGATCTATCCTATACCCACCATTCAGATGGCAAAATTCTGTCTTACCCATCTTGCCGAGTTCCTTGAAACAAAATCGCTTCATTAAATCAAGAAAGAATCATTTTTGAAATGTATCATGAGCAACCAATACTTTCTTCTCGACATCATGGTTGTCTGACGGATTGTCAAACTCTGTCCCAAATATGAAGGACAAGACTTTTAGTGTGAAAGTGTTATTGCACATATATTTGACTATTTCAATGATAACCATTAGGATTCATTATTGAGAAGGGTGTGGGCGTGGTGTGTACTATTGTGGTTGAAAAGAAGATTCACATCCAAATTTGACTATGCAAAACAGGTACATTTTAAATTGATTTACTTTGAATCTGGTTTTCTAAAAGCCTGAATTCAACATAATCGCACACTCAGGTGAAGAATGACTAATTGAAAGAGAGATATGGAGAGAAAGCGTACTGCAAAGAGCCCGTTTTGATCAAATATTCTTTATGGAATATGTCTAAGCAATAAAACATGCCTTTTGTTATCATATTATATAAAAAGAATTCTGTTTGACTACTTTACAAGACACTTCAAAAGACTTCTTTTTTCTCTATCAAACAATCAACAACGACTGTTGCTACAATTTTCAAAGGGTTAGAAACGGTTGTTCTAATCAAAGACTTGGTAGATATATAAGCAAGCCTGCGAAACAATGACATAGAAATGTGTTCAACACTTACATGGACTAAGAACACTAAAGAAAATTGTTCATAGTATTCCAAAATATGCCGCTCACTCGGAATGTGTATGGAATGATTTAAAGAAATTGAAATTCTTCCTAGTAATAAAGAATTCTTCTATGAAATTGAAACGTTTTCTAACTGTCAATTAGTTCCACAAATGTATGCAAACAAGCATTCTGAAATGAAATCAGTTAAAACAGTTATTAGATACCTGGATGTTTCATATTTGAATGAAGAATTTGAAGATCCAGATGCTTACGTCGTTTTGAAATTAACATGTACAGTTATAACGGTGTAATAAAACTACATTGATTGTAGAACACTATTCTTTAAATTTTCTTTTCTAATTTTTATAGTTGCTGCTATAGTTTGACGATGATCATCGTACTTAATCAAGAGAGATCCTTATTTTTTCATTTTAATAAATTCCTTTAAAAAAATTTGCATTTTACTCTGCTATTGTAAATTGATAGATCATCTTACTATAGAAGGAGGAGGGCTCCGCTTTCTAATAGCACGTGCTATGTCAATGAGAAACAAAGATACGGAAGTGAAACTAACAACAGTTGTCAGATTGTTACCAGCAACCTTTTACCTAAGCTTATTCTGATAAATCAGTCAGTCGATCGTACTAGTTAAGTTTATTTCTCAATCGAATGGGTATTTCTTAAAGTTGGCTCGCAATACACTAGCATTTGAACAGAAGAGCAGTTCATTCCAGAGATCGACAGCAAATCAAATATGACCTAGCTAATTCAGTGGATTAGCGACCCTCATTTTTTGTCAAACATGTTTGAAGACGCTCACTTATTATAAGACTTACATCGCCAATGTTATCCCTTCCACAAAGAATTCCTTAGTTTGATTATACTGGTAAAGTATTCCACTAATACATTTAACTGTGCTTATCTCGTGAGGTAATGCCACTTCCTATACTCTGTATAACATCAAAGATGTACTAACTCAGCTTTGTCAGCTTCAAAATTGTCTTCGATAGAGTACTGTAGGCATTTCAGATGAATCAAATTTTATGAGGTGTGCTGTTGTTGAAAGAACAGTCATCAACATCCAAAATGCGCCAACAGACACACCCATAGTCACATCAAAACCCATTCAGAGCTACAGCGATACACATCCATACAGCTACACCCACACACCTACATCCACACCCACACTTCCATATTTCATGATATTGTTTAGAGTGTTTGTGAGGAATTAATGTGTATCAAATATATGCTTACTATCGTAATAGCTTTTCATCTTCCTTCCATGACGCGTGTTGCAAATATATTTGCGAGCGGGCAGTCTTCATTTTTTACTTCCTTTCTTCACCAAACAGAAAACTATGTGTGCACTTTCTTCACAAGTCACTCATTCTTTCGTTGCTTTAATCATATTTGATATATCGGTTGCATGTTTATGCATAGATAAGGAGAACACGCCTAGCCTGTTGGTGTAATATTTACGACTTCGTGTCTTGAGATCAATAAGAATTAACTATTCAACAGGTAGAAATTTTCTTTTTCAATCGACAGATATTATTTCGAAAAGAATAGTATTCGATTAAAGATGAGAAATTTCGCTTATGGGACCTCTTAACTAAAGCCAGGCAGTAACTATTCTAGGATGAATACTTCAAGACTTTGCAAGAAACTTCAATTAGTTTTACAGACTGATCAGCTTCGAAAAAAAAAAGAACTCCTAGCTGGAACATCAGTCTAGCTAATGTGTTAGTATTTGCACACTCCTAGTTAAAAACAATCAAATTTTCATTAAAAAAAAACTTGAAGACTAACTATTTACAAATTGCTTCTAGGTCAAAGTTATTCTTTAGAAAACATAGCATACTTCACTATTGGTATGGTGATATTTTCTGATTAGTTACACAAACAAATATTTTTGTGTTGTAGATCCTTTCTTTCCGAAAAGAGAAAAACAGCATGAATGATTTTGTTTTTGTCAAAAAAATATTGTTGAAACGTAGCGTTTTATTTATTTTGTAGAAGAATCTTATTGAAAAACAAACAATTTTTTTTCAAGCAGTTGTTCACAAAAATGGGCAATGCAGAGAGCTTTAATCATCCTATGGATTCTGAGAATTATAATCTGGTCCAATGTGACAAATGTTATTGTTATGTTACCATACCAAAACAAGCCTATGGTAACACGTGTGCATGTGGTCAATACGTTACTAATAAAAATCCCAATTGAATGATAAGAAAATAACATATGACTGACTTCTGAGTACAATGAAGGAACTTTTTCTCTTATCTACTTACGTGATTTATTTCTGTTTTCGTCTAAATAAATTCAGAGGCATCGAGATGCTTGACAATTTCAAATTAATTCGATGAAAATATCGAATTCTTCAATTGAAACATTCGATAGAATCTACACTGCAGGCACAAAAGCACTATGGGTATGAGTGTGGACTTAGGCTTTCTCTTCTCTCTTTCAACATCCACACACGCCATATCTATCTATCCTTTATTTCAAGTCTATTCATAGTAATAATAAATAACAATACAGTCACTATAGAAGTATTACTTATTATGATAATTTTTATAGTGCACAATATTGACGAATTCTCACGATAATTATCATAAACAAAAAGATCAAGAATAAATTCAATAGTTAATAATAAAAATTTAATAGATAGTTAAATATTTTTATGAAAATATGTTATTGTACATGAATCACTCAATAGAACTAAGCCGGAATTGAATTTCAATGTAGATTTTCGAAGAAGAAACCAAAAAAGAAATCTGCTATTGAGTCTATTCTCTTCGTAGAATTGTTGAAAAGTTATAGACTACATAAAAAAAAATTGAAAATAGATTTTTGAACATGAAACAGTTTATTAAATTCCTATTGAGAAAATATTTCATTTTGTTTTTATTCGAATGGCCAATGCGCGAACGCAAATGACCGCGGAACAAATTCTCCACTCGAGAAAGTCCGATGTGGACTCTTCGCAGGCGTCAACGGGGGCGATGTGCAATGCCCGCGCCTCAACCTGGAGCATTCACGTTGTTGATCGTTAATGCATCCGTGGCAGGTAAGTATGATTACTGCTTCGTCTTCTTCATCATTATATACTTACACAACACGCAGAAAATGCATAGTAGACTAATAAAACGAATGGAAAGAAAGAGAACAGACTATGACTCATCGTCAACACGTCTTTTTCTTTTCTTGCGTTCTTTTATTTGTATCAAAATGTTGAAATTGCTGTAATTTTTTTCGAAATTAAGTCTTGCACATCAACACACTCAATATATTCATATCTGTAATCATATTATGACCAGAAATCACCTAAATAATCGAGCAATCTCAAGTTCAAAAAACAAATCATTATTTGCTTTTCGAAATGTTTCTGCTTTTGTCATTCTTTTTATTGTATATGAATAATGAATGAAAAAAATACCGTACTCTACACGTTCAAATTTCTAAATGTATTCTTTCTTTTATTCAAGTCTTCGACGCATGAAATTTATAGACTTTCCTATAGTATTAAAAGATGAGATAACTCTTCCTCAAAGTATATCAAAACCCTTCATCATAATTGAAATAACTTCTGGAGTGAAATCGAAAGCATCAACTAATGGAATACTCATCGAATATTTTTAATATATCAAACACATTTCATTGATTTGTTCAATGAGATGATCGTTTTCATAGGCTTGTTAGAAATATTGAATCACATCTGAAATTTCAATAAATTACAAAATCAACATTTGATCAATTTTCTTAAACAATATTATCAAATTTACAAATAAATAGTCAAATTATATTTTTATAGAACTATCAAACACAAATAGATATGATCGAAATTCAAGAATTTCTCTCTTTTTTGTTTCATTGAATGAATTGGATGTGGGTATGTGAGAATTGGTCTACTAAGTCGAGAGTTTTTGTTATGTCCAGCTTTATCAGGTGGTTCGATGATAAGAATATATTTTAGAATAGTTCATCAAAATCAAGGTATCG